CTCCAACAACTTGCCCACCGCAAGACTCACATTTCAATCTTACTGCGATGTTCTGGCCCGCAATCAAAAGGACTTTTCGTCGCTCCAGCGCTTCTCGCCAATGAGTGGTCTTTATAAACGACTTTGCTTTTGAAACATAAGCATTGAAACAGTGGAAACATTGGCATTGCTTTTGCAAGGTGGGAAAATTGATTCACGCATTGGCATTGGAACCCCAGGCTGACTGCACAAGCGCAGCCTTCAAGCACACCCTAAAGCCTAAGTGCGTCCGAACTTGCACTTCGGACTGTTCTGTCTCTCCATACCCCTCCAAGCCAACTGCAACACTGGTCACCACGCCCAAAACCATAGGCTCGCTATAGGATGCCACTATATGAGCCAGTGAGGCCTCACTGCACTTTGGCAAAATGTCGAGGAAGCAGGCCAGCACGCGGAGCATGCAGCTTTCACTCAAAGCCTAGTAGCATACGCCCTCGCGCTTGCAAGTGCCTCCGCAAAGAAGCTGGTCTCTGAGCAACAGCTGGGGGTGAGATCTTTCTTTTCATGAGAACAGACTTGACAGCAAAACAGCCTTTCCAAAACGAAGGTCCGACATCTACCTGCACCCCGGCTTCGATCTGGAGCGGCCATGCCACCTCTCTCAGCCGGTCACTCCTTGCGCTCTTTGCTTTCGCCTGACAAGGGGCAAAAGCAAGCAAGAGCCCAGCCGAAACAAGAATCAGCAGAAAACGGAACAAAATGCCCTTGCGCTCAAACCTAAGCTCGGCCCAAAAAAAATAGAAACTCGGAAGCACCTCCACACTTGGGGGCATTTCCGCCGTGGGAGGCACCACATCTCCGCTATGGGAGGCATTTCAATGGGAAAAAACTGACCCCAGAACCCCTGGTGACCATTGTTATCTTTTAGCAGCGTGTTTGGAAGGGTTCTGGGGTCAGACTGTCAGACTTTAAAAGCTGAGTTCGCGTTGCGGAGCTTCCCAGCTTGCCCATCTTCACTGTCAAAGGCCGGCTGCTCAAAGGCAGCCTGCAAAGCACCATCCTGCCCCAAAGGTTTCTGGGAGATTCAGGTCTGATCTCGAAGACAAATGGGCCAACTGAGAAGAAGACTGCCCCAGTGACAACATCTGACAACGGAAGTTCCCTCCCCGCCAAGCACAGACTTAGCAGAGATAGGATCTGCTCTAGGGATAAATGAAATGAAAAACAGCCTCCTGCGTGGCGTGCTCTGATCACAGCTGTAATCTGGTCATGGCACGTTGAAGGACTGGTGCTGATCACAGCCGAACTCTGATCATGGCTTACGTCTTGCCTTCGAAGCGTGCTCAAGGTCATGCGCGGTCCAGAATTTAAAAATGGCTTGATTCATCATGCATGATGAGAAACGGCTTCATACTGAAGAAAAACATCCTTCGAGCCAACCCCTGGACTGACAATGAAGCTTTTGCAGACAAGTCTGTAAAGTAAAGAGATCTCTGAAGAAAGGTCATTGGGGCACTGTGCAAATCAGAATCGGAAGCTTCTGTTTCATCCTTGGCGCGAGCCGGCTGCATCAGACCTCGGAAAACGGGCGCAGCGCAGCACAGTGCAATAGACTATAGTTGAGCTCAAAAGCTCCGCTTTTGACAACCTGGGCACCAAAATGCACGCAGCCAACACTCAGCACTGGACCCAGCAATAGCCAGCGAACCGGCAGAGTCAACCTTCGCACAGCTGCCGCCACACACACACACTAACTAGCAATTGGACGTATTTTGCTACTGTTTTGGCGCAACACATGTTGTGTGAACGCACAACACATGTCGTGTGCACCCAAACACAGGCACTGTGGCAGCTATAGCTACAGCAACAAGCAAGCCTTCGGCCAAACCTCCACTTCAGGGTCGGGGGGGCTACAAAACACTTGCCCCAAAATGCAGACAGCCAGCGCTCAGCACACCAACGCTAGAGCCAGCAAACTGCCAGCAAACCTGCAGAGTCAAGCAACCCAACGCTAGATCCAGCAAACAGCCAGCGAACCTGCAGGGTCAACCCTCGCACAGCTGCCAGGCACACGCTTGCAGGAGTCGGGCTTTGGAAGGCCCACTAGAACTGGGACGGAGGGGCAACAGCAGTCAATGTCAAGAAGTGGGGTTTGTGCAGCGAAGCACTTCAAGAATTGCCCATGCAGCCTTTGACTTTGACGACCGTGTCGCCGCCAACCCATGGAGCCTCCTTCCAACGCTGTCTTGGGCTGACCCGGCGTGAGGTGAAAAACAATTGTGGCGTGGCGCGACGCGCAAAAACGGACGCGGCGTGACGTGAAATTCAAAACAAAAGCGGCGCGACGTGAAAAAACAAATGCGGCGTAACGTGCTGCGGCGTGGCGGGTAAAAGCGGACGCGGCGTGACATGTAAAAAACACGCGGCGTGACCTGCAAAAACGCACGCGACGTGCAAAAATGGACGCGGCGCGCGGCGCAAGCAAAACATTGCTGGATAAGAACACATTTCAGAGCAATCCTGACAAACCCTGGTGCGATTTGGAGGACAAAACCTTGTTCCTTTCAGGGGCTTTGACCCTTGACACCCACACACACACACGAGCAGTTGCTTTTTGCTACCACTTTTGCACAGTGGGAAGCAGCGCTCAAAAAGGGGGCTGGGGGCGGGTCTCTTGCTGCGTGTCCAGCAAGGGGCTAGAATGGCCACACTGATTGCCCCGCCCAAAATTTATAACTGTTTGCTGTTGGTGCGTCGTCTTAAGTTCGCGATTTTCACGCTTCTCTACATTTCGTGTGTTCGCGCAAAATGGTATATGCAATTATATGATATATGCGTCATACACCCCTTACAAACGCGATACACCGATACACTGAATGTGGAACACGCAACATGCCCTTGGCGAAATGCATGCGCACAAAACGCAGCGCAGCCATGCCAGCAACCCATGCGCAAGCAACAGCCACAGCATGCCACAGCCGCACCGAGCTGCAACGCCAACCTCCAACATGAGCATCGAATGAGTTCTTCTTGGGCCGGCGCCTACATATTACATTCAACAAGCCGAATCATGCAAATTGACGCGCCAAAACCGTGACCGGCGTGACAAAACAATAAATTTTCAGCACAGCGCCGCAAGTGGGAGGACAAGCCACGGGTCCTCGTGGATTTCCACCGCTACGCGCCTCACCTGGGACGTGAAGACTTCGCAGAAGCAGAAACGCTTGCGAAACACCATCACGCTGCAGCATCTTTGCGAAAGAACTTTGGAACACAAGCCTTGCGGCAAAGGCACCAAAACGGAAAGAAAATCAAGACTTTCGGACGTGAGGTGGTCATCAAACGCTAACGTCATCAAGCCGTCTGTGGATGAAGCACGAGTGTAGAGCTGCATCAGCCCAGAGTGAATGATCTATGCAAGTGCTGCCCGAGTATACGACCTATGACGCGAACCCGCACAAGACCAAGAACAACCCGCACAACATATACTATTTGCACTACTTAAACAGTTACTACTGCCATAGCACAGGAAACATAAGAAAAGAGGACGGCCTTTGAGTTGCCTCCGTGCTGGACGTCGCAGCAAGAGACCCCCTTGTTGCCAGCACCTGGAAATGCTCCCTCTAGCCCTCTAGTCTACTCAGAATTAAAGGAAGGACGGAGCAATCGCAATACGAAGTACGCCGCAGGCAAAGCGGGCAAAAGTACTGGTTCAACGAAATGTGGGTGGAGTGACGATACAAAACATTATTACCGTCATACTATACCGCATCGGCGCGCACCCGTTTTATCCGAGGTTCTCCGGCCGCTGCGACCGCTGCTGCTGCGGCTGCTGCTGCGTCTGGCGCCACGCAGCAGCTCGCCGCTGCCCATGCGCAGCGCTCACCATGGAAACCAACTTTAGAAGTGGTTACATGTTGAAACATGAAAGCTTCCCAGCCGGTGACCTATTGCTAATAAATTGTGAACAATTCCTGGCGTTCAGCGCCATGAATGCTGGAGCTTGATAGCTGCTCTGACAGTTGAGCAAGAAATCGCAAGGTCTTCGCGTACACCCACAGAGCCAAAAAGATGGTCACTGCGCGGCCAGAACCTGTCGAATCACATGAGCTAGCTCCACACAAAACTCCCTGGAACCAGGCTGCATCAGTTGCAGTGAAGACAAGGGAACTTGCTGGACAGTTGCTTCTAAACCTGACTCTTCAAGCCTCTAGACTCTAAGCTAAGAAAACAGACGTAAAAAAAAGGGTTAAAGGTTGCCCACTGAAGGGGTAAGATAAGACTACCAGGAGACCGTAAGGGGTGCCAATTGGTGGTGTGGGAAGGGGTATCTATTAACCACCCCTTAGGATCCAAACAACACCCCTTGGGGTCTCCTGGTATAGACCTCATGACAATCTGATGACCTCCTCTGGTTCGCTTCGGCTGCGAGTCCGTCGCTGTGTGCAGACAGTCCGTTCCGCATCGGTTGTACCGAAGAAGACCACCAGGCCACGTCTGGAGCAGATGTTGGAGCGATGTGGTATGTGTCTGCTAAGCAAACAATATATTTCATATATAGGCTTCATTTCATTTCTCCAAACATGTTCAAACAGGGGGTGTGCCACCTGACACTCACGCTCCCAATCTATATCGATCTGGTCACAAACTCTCATGGGAAAAGCACTCCATCAACAACAAAGCCAGCGAGTCTTCCCAGTCTCTTCCACACGTATCGGAAGAGTAGAAGGATGACACCTCCCCAAAAATCATAACGGAAGTGGAGTTCACCACCTGTTTGGCATGGATACAAATGCTCATCCAAGGGTATTGTCCACCTCCTTGAATTTCAGGGAGTTTGATGAGCTAAAGCCAAGTTGCAACTCCATTCACCTCACCACAATGCATCGCATCCCATCACCAAACCTATGCACCTTTCAAAAAATGCACCTTTCATATCTTTCGATACACCTTCAATCTTCCTCTCTCATCTCAGACATCTCTTTTGTGGGCACATGAAACCCATCTGCAGTCCATCTTCCCTACTCCCGCGGGAACACCGCTCCCCACCCCCCCAGAACGCCGCCGCTCGGGCCGGATGCCTCAATCTCGCTGATCACAGGCAGCTCGTCGGAACGCAGCAGCGCCTCCACGAAGGACCTGGAGCGGCGACTCGTCTCGTCAGAGGAACGAAGCGAAGGAGGGGGTGATGAGGCCAAGAGCCGGCTCACCGCGGTCTGGGTTGGGTCTTGGCTGTTCCGCAATGCACGAACACAAAGAGAAAACACACCAGTGGGGGAACAGTAAGGGAGAGCAGAAGAGGAAAGTTAAAAGCAGGTCGAAGCGGAAAGTGCTCTGGAAACTTAAGTAACGAACGAGAAGTAACGCGAGCATCTTGTCTTGCACCGAAAGGACATGGATATGGAGGAGACATGTCTATGAATTGATGTAGATGTCGGACATCGCCCCGCAAATTTCACCATGAATCGAGGCCGTCTGAAGCTGTTCGTTGGGAAGATGTTGAACACCTGGAGGGGAAGGGCTAAAGTTGAAGGAGAGTGTGACAGAGTAAGCAGTTGATCCTCGTGCACTTGCTTCTCTGGTGGAAGCAAGACCGACTTGGCGAGCGACTCGCCTGGTGGTTCTCCGCCTGAACACGCCCCTGACTTGTGAACCCATGGAAGTTCTAAGAGTTGGATCCCTTTGACTTTGGTGATTTGATGGAACTTGGACTAAGAGGTTTGTGGCCCAACCTATAGCAGCACAAAAGTACGTATACTTTGTGATACTTTGTGTACCCTGCATGACCCCTTCACAGAAGCCAAGACAAGTATGGACCTTTTCATATCCAATGTGTCATGCCTAAAACAAATGTTCATGGACTATCCTTCTGGGTCTCAGTTTGTTCTGAGCAGTTTGGGCCTGTATGTAAACACAAGAATTTGTTTCCCGGTACTATTGTCCGTGGTGGGAAGAACCCATCCACAGGAACCACGGAAAGCATAGGGCCTAGGGATCACTGGTGGTAAGCACCAGGGCCACCAAACGGCATGCAGTGAGCCTAATCAAATCCATGGAAGTCAGGCCAGGAACGGACACAGGGTATTAATTCCTGACTCATATGTGTTGACCCTGTAACTGTTCAAGGCCATGTTCCTCCCTTAGTTGGGGTCCATGTTCCATTTTCCGGAGCGACCCACAGGCCAACCCGAGCCTTTCACCGATCGCCTGGACCGCCAGGCCGTCGCGTCGACGCACGAAGACGTCTCACATCGCGGACTCCGGGCTCCCAAGCACTGGGAGTTTCTCGAAGTGCTCTTCCGCATCTGGGCCAGGATGTGAGTGAGGTTTGTCATCTAAAAACTAGACGACGGTTGGTGCGAGAGCGAGACATGTAATTGTCCAGCACTGTCGAAAAGATGTATAGAAAGAGAGAAAGAGAGGGTGGATGTGAAGGAGTGACAGTGTGATGCGCAGGTGCGATATAGATCTGTAGATGTATGGAGGTGGAGAGGTAGATCTGTGGGTGTGAGCGTGCGAAGATGTAAATGCACAGAGACGAGAGAAAAGAAAGAAAGAAAGAAAGAAAGAAAGAAAGACAGGACAGATGTGAAGGAACGACAGTGTGGATGTACAGATGTGATATAGATGTGCAGATGTGTGGGTGTGGTGAGGTGGAGAGGTAGATCTGCGGATGTGAGCGTGTGAAGATGTAAATGTAGAGAGGTGAGGGGGTGTAGACGTAGATGCGTCGATGCAACGGCAATGCAACGTCAACCTTAGTTATGCAAGTACAACGCTGATGAGGTTCAACTAGAACTGAAGAACGTACATTTCACACTGAAGTTTCCACGAGCAGGGCGACCTGAGAGTAAACGACGTCACGATCATGACAAGCGACTCATGTATTCCAAGCGAACATCGCTTGTCATGAAGGTGAAGTACACACATACTAACGTCACGATGACTCTTTTGTGGCAGCCACCTCTCAAGAGAGCCGGGTGGTCGGGAGACATGACTCAGCTGGAGGGGCGCCAGAGCAGCCGCGAGAGATGACTCGGCCGCGAGCGATGACTCATCCGCGTACTCAAGTTGTACTACAGAGTCGCCAGTTCTCAGCTTCCAGCTCCACAGCTTGCTCCGCGTACTAAAGTTGTACTACAAAGTCGCCAGTTCTCATCTTCCAGCTCCCCAGATACTCCGCGTACTAAAGTTGTACTAGAAAGTCGCCAGATCTCATTTTCCAGCTCCCCAGATACTCCGCGTACTAAAGTTGTACTACAAAGTCGCCAGTTCTCAGCTTCCAGCTCCACAGATTGCTCCGCGTACTACAGTTGTAGCACAAAGTCGCCAGTTCTCATCTTCCAGCTCCCCAGATACTCCGCGTA